AACCATTATTTTTCTAAGCCCATTAATTAAGTATAACGTGAATCCCTATGTGCACATTTGATTTGTTAAATTAGGTCAAACAATGACAAATTGAGAGGTTGTTCCTTCTTTGGATATAAGAGGTTGTAGCTTACTGAAAAGCATCAAGAATTTTCAGAACAAATTTTGGTTATAAGAAGGTTGTTTTGTTTGTTTGTTTTTGTTTTTTGAGATTACAGATTGGCCCAAGGGTGTGACATGGAAAACTGACTTTCGATTATGCTATGTTCTAAAGACAAAGAATGCAAAGACAAAGAGTGTTTTGAAATGCTTACGCATGAGGTTTGAAGTTTGGCTTATTTGTTGAACCAGTAGATTGATTAGGAGGAGCTGTAAGTTTACAAAGATTGAGATGTCCAGCCTATAACCATCATCTAAACACAGCTTTGTAAGCCCTGCAGCTACTATTAGAGATTATACAGCAATTGTGGTTTTATGTGAACCAGATATAATTGGTCATCAGCACAAACTAAACTTATTGAATGCTTGCCTTGCAAGCTTGCTTCTGCTAGGTTTGATACATCTCTATGCACTAGGGAGTAAATTAAATTCTCTCACACAGCAATATTTTAGACAAAGTACTAGTGTGTAAAATACTGCTGTTGGCTTGGCCTTCTCTCTGCAGAGATATTTATAAACCACTTGTTGTTACTTGGATTTGAGATTTCCTTTCAGATTTTTTGAATAAATTGTAAATTTGTACCAATTTATAACACTACTGCAAACAACTACTATCTTCATGGCACACAGAATCTAGGAACCTTGTTCAAGTTTTACTAATTGTTGCCAAAATACCAACAGTAATAACTTAGTTCTTATAGTTTCCTAATAGCCCTCAGTCTGGAACATTCTTTCAGCCTTTGCCTGACTTCCGTGACACTGTTATATTGAAACATTGCATATTTCTTAATTTGAGTTTGTCCGGTATTTCCTTATGAGTAGATTATGATATACTTCCCTGGTATCACATTCACTGTACCAATAGCAGTCATTTTCATTAGTGCATTTCATCCAGTTGTGACAAGACAGCAGATAAAAACAGCTTAAAGGAATGAACATTTATTTTGCCTCCTGGTTCCAGAAGTTACAGCCTTTAGTCAGCTTACTCCATTGTTTCTGGAACTGACATGAGACACAATGTCATAGTGGAAGAACAGCCAGGAAGCAGAGAGAAAGAGGCACAAAGGGATCAATCAGTGTGTGTGTGTGTGTGTGTGTGTGTGTGTGTGTGTGTGTGTGCAAAGATCCAAAGGCAAGCCCCCAGCGACCAACTTTCTCCAACAAAGTTCCACCTCCCACAGTTCTATCCTTTCCAATAATTTATTTGTATTTTGTATCCATCAGTAAATTATGGTTATCTAATGGTGTCTGAAAACACCTATACACAGAGATTTGTCTGTTTACTCACTTTCTAGGCTTCTTCCAACCCAATCTGTTTAAAAATTAAGGTTACCTATGTAGTATGTATGCACACATTTATGTCATTATTCATATCTTAAGAATGAATCACTACATAAATATCCATATTGATGAAACTGGAATTTTGAAGTTTGCTAGGATCTAAGATTTATTACCAAGTTCATTTAAATGGCCAGTAATTAAAGTCTGAAATCTAGAGTGGATGTTGTCATATTTAATCCTGTCTGCTATTGACCTACTAACTAAATTGTTTGTTGTCTTGAAACTCCTTAAATATACTAAGCCACTCAGTGTTCAGAGTCATGTGAATAGAGTAACACTATAGAGTCACAATTAGTAGACCAACATTTACAGGCAACCTGATTCAAGCATGAGTTAGTAATCTGTCACATTGTTAGGTAAGGGTAGTCATTTGACTCTAGCAGCCTCAATTTCTTTTATCTGAGGTACCTTTTCCTTAAGGTTGTAATGAAGCTTGAAGGATATGCCATAGGTCATATGACAGAACACTTGGCATCTAGAAAGTGTAAAAAAGTGAATAATGGTATTTAGACCAATCATATGTGAAATCTAGACCTTTAATTCCTACAAATTAGTAACATTCTATAAAGCTATGGGCCTTGCATAGTAAAACTTCCAACATTTAAGCCATGTACTTAAAATGCTCTGTGTGTGTGTGTGTGTGTGTGTGTGTGTGTGTGTGTGTAGTTTCGTAGTTTCAGTAAATATTTAAGTTAATCTTGTTGAGATAGTCTGCACAGGCTTTAAAAATTTTTAATGGAACATCATGGTACTCCTGTTTGCTTTTTCAAGTCAGTAGGATGGAAATATCAATTTATATGGGAGATGTAATTACACTTCAGTATTTACTCTGTCAAAATATATTTTTGATACTGAAGTATCTATCATTTGTTTGCTAAGTCAGCTCATATATGTTTTATTTAATTGGTATGAAGTAAGCAAAAAAGAGGACATTTTGTGATTATCCAGAGATAACACTCTTTTGATCGTTTGTACAGATATTAAATTTTTACCACTTAGAATTGACTATTTTTCCCACTGGCATTAAAATCTAATTCCACTTTCTCAAACTGAGATTTGGAAATAGAAGAGAAATAGATAGCTTGCAACATACACAGAGATTTCTATTCACAATATTAAATGGATACAAACCAAGGCTGATGCCCAGCTTGTTTTCAGAATGAATTGAAATGTAACTTTTCTGTCTTTTCTAATGATCAGTCTGCTTCTGTATCTTGCTAGTGTAAATAACTCATACAAGGAATACCTTGAGAAACATGTAAACAAACCTGAACATAAATCAGATTATCTTGTGACTTAAAGTAAAAGATATTGAAGAATGAATCAACCAGAGCTATACACTGTCACATTAAGAAAATAAAGGCTTTTGAGTCAAGACTGAGCTATGTGAAAGTTATTCATATTTCTGAAAGTGTGTTTCAGGCAAGTTGTAATGGTGATTTTAGCCAAGGGAACTGAATAATAAATCTTACATGGTAAAGAAGAGAACTACTTCCTGAGAAATGCTTTAAGGACATGTTCTGAATAGAGCAAAATCACTACACCCAAAGCATATTCTGAATATTCTGTTCTAGATCAATTTTACACAAGATATTGTGAATCTCTATACATAATCTATATGACCACACACATTCTGGTTCTTTTTTTACTGTGAAAATACTGTACAGAGGGGTTATAATTACACGGGCAAGATAATGAGTGCATTTCTTATCAAGCATTGTAGCCTCCTCCTTTGTTTCCTCTTCCCATCCCTTCCTATCCTTCCCCCCCGTCCCCCCCTCAACCCTCCTCCCCCCCCAATCCTTCTCCCCCATCCCCCCCCACCAAAGTTGTAACATTCTGGTTCTTGTGACAGCTCTGCTCTTGGTCTAATAAGGACTAATTCGCATCAGGCATTAGACAGTCATCTCAGTGAACAAATCAATGTGATATAGCTTCTAAGAGATGAGTCCAGCTCACCATAGCACACTACCTTTGGCACATATTTGGCAGGCTGATAGTCAATCTTGGGGACCTAATCTCACTTTATACTTTATATTCTAATAAAACCTTTAGAAAACATGGAGGACTTTTTATTCTGAATGAAAAGGCTGAGAAACTTATAAGGAAGGTATAATGGGTCATGAGAAATGAGTCCAAGTAGAAGAATATACAACAGTGTACTTGAGAAAAATGGGGGAGACAGTAATAGTTGAGAACCAAGGGACAAAGAGGAAGAGAAAAAGAAAGGGGAAAATGGAAATCAGATATGCTCCCTGTTTTAATGTTCAACAGAAGTCCATATACCCCAAGAGATTGCCTCTTTGGAACTTTAGTAATAGTAACAGTTGAGATCATGACTATTTTGCAGAACCCTTTTAATAGAAGAATAAACTGAAGTTCAGATATACCAAGTAACTGGACAATATCACTCAAGTTGACAGCTAGTGGAAGACCCATGTTTTACACTCAAACCCAATATATGCACCATTATGCACACTTTCATCCATGTGTTTCCTCTGACAATAATACTGTCTTACTGTCACTACACATATAATTTATTGACTTGGTTAGCAAACATTTCTTGAGTGAAACAGATACGTTAGGCTTAAGACTATACATTGGATGTGTACAATGAAAAATTTTTAAACATGGAGAAGAGTGGATAAGTTGAGAGACAGCATTGATCATATAACTACAGTATCTTGATATTACCAGTGTATTAATTATTCAAAAGTAGATCTAGTACACACTTTTTGCTTCCAAGTGGGAATTTCACCTGATCAATGAAATTTCCAAGTATTATAGACAGACATTTGAAATGAGACTTGAAGACAAATACTGCATTATATGATGTGGAGAGGAAAATAGTCAAGTGTGAATATTCTGTTGAGGTAAGAAGCTATATAAAGTGCATTGGAAAACATAACCACAGTACAAAGAATAAATGGCAGACCAGGTACTGGTGAATCATACTTGTGATCCTAGCTATTTGGGAGCCTGAGAGCTGAGAATCTTGATTTGACGTCAGCCTGACCAGACAAAACTGAGAGACTCTTACCTTTTATTAACTAACAAATAGCCACATATAGCAATGTGGTTCAAGTTTTAGAGTAATAGCATGATCAAAATGAGAACTCATGGTCCTAGTTTATATCAGCCCAGGTACTGGTGTAAACAAAAGATAAAGAAGAAATATGTAAGATTCTAGTACATGGGAAACAAACCGTCAAATGCTCTATCAGTCTTTGGAGACTCCATAAGGATTATCCTACAGGCTTTCTGAAGTTTGTTGAGAAAAAATTATGAATTAAGTTTTGTAGACAATTGATGTGAAGTTATTTTTGTGGCATATAAAAGGATATATCAATCAGATAGAATATCTCTGGCAAAGGAAGGCTTACTTACCTTGATAGAAAACTCGTAATAAATGGATTTTTTCTCATGCTGGAGAATTTCTATTTCGATGAGTCACTGGTGACCACAGTTGTCATTTATTCTTTCTTCTTGGTTAATTTCAGAGCACATTCAGAAAATGAAGGGACCTCTTTACCATCTGCTCATTCCTGTACCAGTCCTACGAAGATGGATTCATCATATAGTAAGACTGCTAAGCAGTGCCTGGAGGAGATATCTGGTAAGTGACTGAATTGCTGGGTCAACCCTAATGATTTTTGGAATTTCCCTGTCATTCTTTTTTTTTTATCAGATCATACTTGTGCTATGGTTTTGCAAAACAATTCTGCACATTTCATACTCCTACACATTTCATAAATAATCTGTCTATTCTGGTTGTTGTTGCTGTTGTTGTTTGGGCCAGTCTTGGTGTTTAAACTCAGGGCCTGGCACTGTCCTTGAGCTTCTTTTGCTCTTGAGCACACAGTACCCACTTCCGGCTTTTTCTGTTTATGTGGTCCTAAGGAGTCAAACCCAGGGCTTCATGCATGCTAGGCAGGCATTCTTATCACCAAGCCACATCCCCAGACCAATTAGTCTATTCTTTTTGGAATAATCTTCTTGTGATACTAAAGCCAAGAGTAGTACTTCCAGAAGCTGATACTATGAGTTATTTTTTGTCACTCAGATTGAATTTAATCAGTGAAGACCTTGGTAACATTTTATGGCTAAAAAAACCATCTTGTGAATATATTTGAACTTTATTTTTATGTCAAATTCAACTGTGTTGCATTTTCAGTTCTGTGCTTTAAAAATATTTCTCCATGGTGGTTCCAAATGTGCATCTTGAAAAACTTATTAGGGATATTATGAAATCATCCCATATTATTTTATTATTATCCTGTATTACTTCCATTATTTTGTTAGTTGGCTTTTATAAAACTGGATATTCTTTGTAAGTTTCTAGAAGTCTTTGTAGCTCACTGATTTTCTGCAACCCATAGTCTCAATGATATTGATATTTTTGTAACATTGCTAATGAGCTATGGGTGTTTTTGACTAGGGATACTTTGGTCTTAGTACTCAGGTAAATTGGCCTTTAAGATACAGAACTCAGATGGAGTTATTTTTGGAAGGGTGACATCCAGGTTTTATGAGTTTGGGAAACCTGTATGAATTGGGGAAGCCTGGGAATATTACCAAAATTTTTAAATTATTCATAATGTCTTGCAATAGGTTCAAGTGAGATTGGAGATCTACCACCGAAGTATTCCTTAATTACCTTTGACTCCATAATAAACCTATCTGGCATAATTTTACCTGAACAATTTGTAGTTTTCTACCATTTCATAGCAAACAGTCTCTTTATTTTCTTTAGAGAAAAGGACTCATGTAGAGTAAAACAAAGCAACTCTGTCTTGACAACAGTGCTAATTTCAGGAAGGGACACCTAGTTCAACCTAACTCAATTATAGCAAATGACATTCAATCTCAGAACTTTTCCTCAGACTCTTCTAAAAGAGATGTTTTCTTCCTCCACTTGACTTAAAGCTATCTAAGAAAGCTGGCATTGCTTGTAGTTACTTTAGCCCCCAAGTAAAACAAATGAAAACAACCTAAAAGCAGTGGAGAATGAACCTAAGGTCATTGTAGGAAATATCTGAGTACCTGAACAAGTCATGTCTGAAACTACCCTTCCCCTAATTCCTAAAAAATTTAGATATGTTAGTTCCATTCTATAATTTTTTTAAAATATGAAACATTTGCCTATTTATCATTATCCACAAGTTGCAAAGATATGAAGATTTTCCAGTGTGTTAAGGAGCAAACTTGGTTTGCATGGCAATATAGGTTTGCTAAATTCACTAAGTTAAGTGGAAAGCTAAGCCATTAAAATTTTTATCAAGCTATGGCTGATTAAAGATATAAAAACATTGTCAGTCATTAAGTGATAGTGATATTAAAGGTGTAATTACATTAAAATATCAAAAGATCAGAAATAAGTGATATGACATTTTTCAATTTGGAGCTTTTTTTTAGGAGGGTGGGGTTGTTCCTGGGGCTTGAACTCAGGTTTTGGGCTCTGTCCCTGAGCCTCTCCCTGCTCAAGGCTAACACTCTACCACTTGAGCCACAGTGCCACTTCTGACTTTGACTGAGTAGTTTATTGGATATAAGAGTCTCACAGATTTTCCTGCATAGGCTGGCTTCAAACTGTGATCCTCAGATCTTAGCCTCCTGAGTAGCTAGGATTATAGACATGAGCCACTGGTGTCCTTCCAGTTTGGAGATTTTTGTGTGAAAGAATATCTTTCAAAAATCTAAGTACACAATTTGTAATTCTTTTTCTTTGCCATGTTGTTTTAGAGAAAACTTGACGTTAACCTGATCTAATGGTGGTGGCTACTTTAATAATTATTATTATGCCATGTATAATTTATAGCAGTGAGTAAATGGGCTTATTGCTTCTACTTCATCCTATAAAATTCCTGACAAAACTTGGTGTTATAGGCTGGTTCAAGTTTATGATGTGGATTTTTACTACTTTGGCTTATGTTTTATTCTCTCATACATTGACAAAAAGAACCTGCCCTCTGCCATCTCTTTCCATTGCCAAGAGATATTGCCAAATGTAAGATGAGCCTAAATTCTCATTCTACTGATATCATTCAAGAAATTTTTCTTTTTTAAAAAAGAAAGTTTTTAGATTTTGTTTACTACATAGATTCACACTTTGTCTTATCCTTTTTTTCTTTTGTATAAGGCTGTCTGGCTGATGATTTATTTCCTGCGAAGTTTAACATATGTTTAATGTACTTTCCAACCTTTAATTAGAATTTATATTCAAATGGAAAATGTTGAGAGATACTAGATTTGTCTTGCTATTGGCAAAACTAGCATGCCATCTTTAAAAAGATGGCATTAAAATATTTAATATTTTAAAAATACCTGAGAATTCAAGAAATCATTTTAGAAATAAGAGTTTAGGTTTAACCACATGATAAGCTCATAGTTACATGTAGTTTTCTGACTTAGTAGAATTTGTACTAAATATTGGAAATATCTAGCATTGAAGACCTTTGCAAATGATCAGTAAGCTACCTTTTCCCTGAATGTTTATAAAGATCAAGTTCAGGTATTTCAAATCAGCTTATATTTTTTAAATTTAAATACTACATCATAATTATGTTTACTTAAGAGTTGAAAAGCATACTTTCTAGAACATTATAGTACCTGTACATTTAGGTCTTGGCAGAATTATAGTGATTTGCACTTTTGCTATTGATTGGATATATTTACTTATTTTGCATCCAAGCTTCTTCCTAATATTTGTATGTTTGAATCTAAATAAATATAAATATACTTATGTATAAATAAATTCATGCTCCAAACAAGCAGGCATAGATGTCTTTGGAGGAGCTAAACGTGGATTTTCTATCCTTGTTCACAGTAAACTTGTTCTAATGTAGTTCCAGGGGGAAAAACTACTGCAAATACATGTTACTAACAGTTATTTTTGACTAAGAAATCTACAAAAAAAATGCCATTGTAATGCTGTTTAGGTTAGCATGTCTTCAAAATGCATGTAGATTTTTCTCTACAGGCTCCACCTTACTAGTTTGATTAAATGTAGCCTGAGTCTTTTGGGGATCATTCTTGTAAGATGATCATTCTTCCTCCTGCACTGATCTAATAAATAAAATATGCACAGTAACATGCCATGACTATTCCTGAGCAGAAGTTTTAAGAGTTATTGTTTGGATCTCTTCTGTCTCCTTTCCCTCTCTCATGAGATCAACTGACAGAGTTGATCTCTGTGACCATGGATCTTAGAATACAGGGCATCTCTAAAATAAATACAAGTCAAATCTACACCAATATTCCATTTCACACCAACCAGCGTGGTATTCCTCAAGAAAATAAGTAAAATCAAATGTTAATGGGGATGCATGAGAATGGAATCCTAATACACTGTTGGTGGAACTCAGAATGGAGGCTCTTCCAAAAACTAAAAATTGATGTATCGTGAATCTTATCTACCACTCTTGGGCATTTATCTAAAGGAAATTAAATCAGTACACAAGAAAGTAAATTGACACATAAGATGCTTGCTTACTAAAGTGTATTGCAATAATCGTTATGGTAGAAACATACACACACACACACACACACACACACACCATGGAATATAAAAATACTGTCTTCAGGAAAATGGGTAAATCTGGAGATCATTATTTTGAGTATATTAAGCCAAACTCAGAAATTCAAATATCACGTGTTTGTTCTTGCTTATTTGATGATGCTAATAATAGTAGTACTATAATAGGACATGAATATAAAAGAGAGACTGAGATGGAATCAGTGGAGTGGTAAAAGGAGGGATACTAGTTGATGAAAAGGTTCAAAGGCTATTATGTAATATATATCTATAGATTATATTTGTATTCAGCATAGTGAAATCCATCACTGTTTAAAAAAGTGGGGAGAATAGAAGAGAATAAAGGGAATATGGTATCGAATTTGAATTTCTTCAAACTGTAATATGTGCATATGTGGAAATAAATAATATTTTAAATATATGTTAACTCAAAATAAAATAATTAAGGGCACTTAAACCAACAACATGGATTGGACATTAGTGTCAGCAAAAAAACCACATCATTTCTGACTACTGATATCATAGACTGCTTAATTCTTTTTTGAGGCCTGAACCAACCTGTCATTGAAGGAATTTTAGTTGACCTCTACCTATCAGATATCATTCTCAACAGTTGTTATACTCCAGAATGTCTCTTTATATTGTAAAATGTCCTGTAGGAAGCAAAATCATCTCCAGCTAAAACTCAACAGCGCAACACATCTCAAAGCAGGGCCCCAGAGCCAATAATACCTGGAAGTAAGTTAGAATTAGGCCTTCTCAGACCAACTTAATGAACATTATGAGACTCTACCTGGAAAGCTATACTTTAAAAAGTCATTTCCTTGGTTTGGAACTCTTCATTGGAAGAAGCAAAGTTTAAGGCAGTTGATGCACCAACACTCTTGTATAAAGACATAATTACTGCTTTTATTATACATATATAAAATCAATTCTTTTACCATCTAAAGTGTGTTAGAGCTCCCTCTTCTGTGAATGTATAAGATTTCCAGGCACTTTATCATATTCCAGATAATATAAATGTAATGTATTTAAACAAGTTTTATAACTTAAAAGGTAATTTTCTCAAAGCCTTTAAGTGT